ATCCCAGGACATTCTGTGACCTCACTCTGCCATGTGAAGGAACGGCTAGTGCTCCAGAGAGGCCTCTGTCAGCAGGGGACAAAGACGGAGAGGAAGGAGTCAGGACAAGGCAACCACCAGTCCCCACCCAAGCCAAGATGGACTCGTTCCATTCCACATTACCGCAGAGAGTTCCATCGGAACGTGCTTTAAACAACTAAAGCACTGGGGATTTTTTTCCTTCCCCCTGAAGTAATTCCCATGGCCTTTTTAATAATGACTATTTGGAACAATTATGCCTGTTATTGAGCTTAGCACATTCTATATTCAGTCATTGTGCTAAGCACAGTATTCATTTCTGTCTCTTTACCTTTTCTGCAAGTGATTTTTTTGACTGCCCATCCACTACCTGTCCCACCAGGTTGATCCCTGTCCACAGAGACGGTGAAATGGCAGAGAGGAACAAAAGATCACCCAGTCCAACCACCGGTTCTTATCAGATATCCATTCTGACCTTGTATGTGACTGTCCCACCTCTCTTCTCAAATCCTCTGTGCTTCCCCCAATCTTCCATTTTGATATTAAAGTCACAGTGTGGCAACTGCAATATTCTCCCAAAATCCCTGTATCAGACTCTTGAATTTCAAAGCGATGAGGTCAAGATCAAGAAAACTCAGAAACAGAGGAAATTGGGTTGCTAGGATCCTGGGGTTGTTTATTATGCTCTCAGCCTTAATTAGGTGTAAGTAACATCTTGTCAGTGTTCTGCCACATATGCTAAAGCTGTCGGGGCAATTTTACTGAGTCTGACAGCTTAAATCAGAAACAAGAGAGTCGACATGTCAATGATGAGGCTGGACATGATGGATATATTAAGAGGAGTCTGGAAAATTCTGGACTTCATTATATCGACTTCTCAAAAGTTTCCGTCAAAAGAACCTCAGCCTCTTTGGAAAAGCTCCCCTGGGATCTGATTACACCCAATTAGAGGGCCTCCCACAGCCACCTGGACACAAGAGGATTTCGGCTACGGATTCATCGGAGGGGTGATTGAGGGAAGATGAGAACTGGGAAATTGCTGATTGTGGTATAATTTCTACAAATAGATCTATTGAGATTTAAAAGGTGCAATAACTTGACATTTTTGCTAAGTTAAAAACTGTTTAAAAATGGGTTTGCAGGTTGTTTCTTTTTCCATCTCGGCCCCCAGGCTATTTTCAAAATGAAAAGAATGGCAGAGAGTCCTGAAAGCTGAGGTGCAGTTGAAGGCAATAATAAAATGTCAGAGACGACAAAGAGGAAAATGATAATCTTTTGAAAGTGTTAGAGGCACACTTGACTTAGGACGGCAAGTTTCTCAGAGGGAAAAAATGAGGGCAAGGGGAAAAGGAACATTTGCTAAGGAGATTGGCATGTTAGCAGGTTGGCCTGAACACGGGTCTTTCTTGCCAAGACCCAAAGGGGCCGCTTTCTGGAGGCATCTACGGCCAAGATCCCAGGTACTGACACATCACAAACTGCCCCTGGCCTGTCATTTTAAGTGGAGGAGAATTTTGATCCCTTGGCCAAGGAGAGAGGAGGAGTACCGACAAGGGACATACCTGTCCCTGGTGACATGGCACCACATTCCTGGCAAATTAAGTATCTAAATAACCAGGCTGAGCTTAGGCTTACAGTCTATCTGGGTAATGTAGGGCTCAGATCTAAAATTACACACATCCTCAAGGGTGTCTTTACAGAAGAATACCTTTTTTCTTCCATTTCTTTTCAAAGGAAGAGATGTCAGTCAGTGGCGTGTGCTTACGTTGCTGAACTACATGATTTTAAACCTTAGATTTGATGTAAAGATTCATGTCTATACAGTCTGATGGGTGGAATTTTCACAAGGAGAGAGAATCTTCATGGATTTCAACAGACGAGAACTTCTAGCTTTACAATGGGCCCTTCTATCTAGCCGTTTCAGCTGATGGCTCACATGCATTTATTTCTGATATTAGGCAGAGTCACTGTGGCCTGACAACGCTGACATTACTTCAGAAGTTTAAACAGATGTTGCCTGACTTTTGAAGAAGTGAATAAACTTCAGTGAAATGACTTGGAAACAACAGTGGGGAGGGAAAAGTACTGGTATATGACTCAGTAAGGAAGTAGTGATGCCTTCAGAGTTTTCTCTTTTTTTACAAGAGAGAAGCACCCTCCATTTAGTTGAAAAGTAGTGGGGCGTTTTTCTTTTTCTTTTCGCAGCGTGTTAATGCTAATTGTTTTTGCCTCTGTCTCATACTGAATTGGATTGAAAACCTCTTTCCCAAATCAATTTGGAGGCAGTGAGTCATCAGCCCTGGTGACTGAACTGCTCTTTTATCAACTCAGCAGGTGTGTAACAGTCTTTTCTCTGAATGGCCTTCCCTCCTGTGCCTCTGATACTCCCAATGAAAAAACGTCAGAAATATATGAGAACTCAGAGGATCTCAGTCTTGATCCATGTTCCCAGTTTTTCCTGTAAAGAAAATATGAGGATCCCGTGACCATGAAGGCCTACATATCGAGTTACCTGTTATGAATGCTACAGACCAAAATTATACCTATTAAAATCCCCAATACTTCTTTGGCATGTCCTCCATCACTTGAACAAAGCATAATAATTTCATTCAAAACACTATTTTATTGTTGTCTAACTCAAGAAATATCCATTAAGCTCATAATTCATGTCATGGCTCATGCTAGAATCTAGAAACTACAAAAACTAATATAGTAGCTAACACTAATGGAGTGTTTCTTTGTCTCCAGCACTGTTCTATGTGCCTTACATAAAAAACCAAGGCACAAAACCTCACCAGACATTTGTTGAACCCTCCTCTCAACCAGACCAGTCTGTGTTGGTTAATCTATGGAATCGTGAAACTTGTGCAGCACTCTCAGCCTTCTTCTCAGGAAAGCTGCCATCGGCTACTCCCTGCTCAGGAGCTGCCATAGTTTGGATTATGTGAACTGCTACCCTGACCACAAACAACAAGACCAGGAAGGACAACCATATCGGTTTTCTAGCAGTTTTCTAGGGCCGCCGTAGCAAAGGACCATAAACTGGGTGGCTTGAAACAAGAGAAATGTATTGTCTCGCAGTTATGGAGGTTAGAAGTCCAAGATCAAGGTGTCAGCAGGGCCATGCTCCCTCTGAAACCTGTAGGGGAAGGATCATTTCTTGCCTCTTCCAGCTGCTGGCAACCTCAGACATTCCTTGACTATGGAAGCATAATTCTAATCTGTCTCTGTTCTCACATTCTCCTTGTGTCTCTTCCCACCGTCTTCTCTCTATTTATGTCTGCCTCCATGTCTAAATTTAGTTATATTGGATTAAAGCCCACTCTAACAATCTCATTTTAACTTGATTATCTCTGTAAAGACCCTATTGCCAAATAAGGTCACATTCTGAAGTACTGGGGTTTAGGACTACAACACGTCTTTTTGGCAGAACACAACTCAACCCATAACAATACCCTAGCCAAGTGCAAACCTGGAAACCCACAGCCGAAGAGGTGGTCTAGTTCAAAAACTCTGCCCAATAAGATTTCATCGTACCGGATGGTAACTATTTGACCCAATTAGATTCTGTCTTGGGAATTTGGGATTCTAGCCAGACAAAGGGTAAAAGACTAGTCAACAAGTATAGTGGAATCACTACAGTAGGGACTGTGTCCCCTGCCTTTGACAGCCTCAAAAGACAGACCTATGACCAAAATCTTTCTGGAGCCTAAAGAAGAGAGTCATGTGCAGGTTCTCTACTGGCCCAGGTGGTTGCTAAAGCTCCCTTCTGGACTTGTTCGTTTATTTTTATTAACTGTATCAATTACACTAACTAGTTATACAATTGCTCTTTTCTTTTTATTTTTTATGCAAGCTATTCGGACCCCTGCCTAACCAATCCTGACTTTTTCATCTTATCAAAACATTTAAAATTTATGTCCCATGTCAATTTTATGTAGCTTTGATCTCTAATCTTCCCAGCTTCTTCTTATTACACATGTAATAAGAAATAAAATATATTTTCCATACGTGTGTGTATACTATATATGATTTATAATATGCACATATGTATACACATCTATATATTATCTATAAACACACACATATAAATACATATGCATGTATCTTCTACCTCATTCTCAATACAATTTGTGGTGATTACATTTATGAATATAGGTCTGTGCAAGTGTAATTATAAATTTGTGGTATGAAAAAAGTTTGTGGTATGTTCTTTTGGTATCATGAATAATAATGTTGATAATAACAGCTTTTATTCATTGTTAATATGTGCCAGACACTTTGCTATGGACTTTACATGCATTATCTATTTTAGTCTTTGCAACAATCTGGAAAAGAAAGAATTATTATACCTCTTTTACAGATGAATAAACTGAGGCTCAGAGAGTTCGAGTAACTTGTTCATGACATAGCTAGTATGTGAAAGGTATGAGATTTGAACCCGTACAGTCTACCATAGAACAAAAGTTGTGAATCACTTTATACTTTCTATGCCTTAACCAATGAAGCTTTATAGAAACCTAGAGCTAAAGGGGACACTGGGAATTATTTGATCAGGCAGCTTCATTTTGTTTATGAGAATACCGAGTCACCAAGGAGTAAATGGTGGGGTTCAGTGGCTCAGTTGTTGGCAAAGCTGGGAATGGAATCCCAGTCATCTATTTCCAAAGCCAGTGCTTTATTACTTCAACTCCAGCCCTTATGGGGGTTTCCGGTGGGGGAGACTTCTCTCCTATTTCCTGCAGTGAAACAGAGTTTTTCTTATTTTTAGATTATGGTAGTCATTTAAACTAGAATCAGAAGGGGGGGAGCTAGATACCTGTGCAAGGGTCTCCATCTTGCCAAAAAGTTTGACCAAGATTTTTAAAACAATTGAAACAGAAATCATTACAGTTCACAAAGCGTTCACCAGGAGCTCACCTGAAAACCTAATTAGACAGAACACACGTGTCCCAAGCATTCAAGTTAATGGAGGGTTTTCTGGGCTTTCTTTGCATTGCCATCTCTCAGCTCAAACGCAGCATACAGTGTCAAGTGAGTGCTCAGTTGATATTTTTGACTGACAAAAGCAATTAAAAACATAATATTGTATAAGTTCCCAGCCAACCTTGTTATTATTGTGAAGGTGTTTCACATATGTAAGGCAGTTTTAACAATCCTTTTGATTAGTCATTCATGTAACTATTTGAATAAACATTTCAAATCAAGTCAAAATAATCACAAACGATAACAGCACTTATGGTGTTGCTTAGAGAAATTACGATCACAGTGTGTCTTTCTCTTTCTTTTCTCCTTTCTTTCTTTTTTTTCTTTGAGCAAATAAACGTAACCCCCTTGCCGACTTTTTGGTTTCAAAATGCAAAATAATTTGATGTTTTTTCTTCTTGATAATGATGCTCTCTAGTTGGCTGTAATAGGAAGGTTGAATGCAACCTCTTTAATGTATGGGGCTTTTTGAAGAAAAGGTAGAATTTCTGCAACAGAGATAACAACAATTTCAAAGGACCTCTTGTTTGCTAACACAAAACCCATGGAATATGGTGAGAGCAGAGTGTAAATATAGATGTTTCAGCAGACTAGTCACCAGATAGCTAGCTATGCTGTCAATCTCAGTCACTTCTATTTTCTGCAGAATATTTTTGTCAGCAACGATCATCAGTGATCTTATACTTACTGAATGGTCTCTTATTAATTTACTCATTTGACCTCCCAGAAGTATTTAACACCACTAACCCCTCCCTCTTTGGACTTCTCCTCTTGACTTCCACAATGCCAGCCCTCCCAGGTTCTCCTCCTTCTCCCTGACTGTTTCCATCTATGTTTTCCACCTGCACATTTTCCACTGCCATTCCTTAAGCCTGACGAACCCCAAGCCTGCCCTCACTCTATTTTTCTCATTCCATTCTCAGCCTGGAAGGGAGCATTGATTCCTAAATATTCCATGAACACTATCTGACAGCAACCCTCACATTCCCCTCATCAGTCTCAGACTCTCACTCCTGCTTTAAAGTAACAGTGTCCCACGAGCCTTCAGATTTGTTCCAGTTTTTCACATCACCTCTGCAATAGTCCTTCTGTGCTGAAAATATGAGGTCATCGGTCCACTTCTCATGATGCAGAGAATGTCTTCATCACCTTAAGAAGAGATCAAAGTCCTCAGAATGTTATGCAAAGACTTTCATAATCTAGCCTTTGTCTAGCCAGTACTATCACTTGTCACTGCACTAACACCTGTTCCCAACATTCCTGCCACACACTTGTACTGTAGCTTCATGACTATGTCAGACCCTCCTCCTCTCTGTGACCATTCACATGCTCTGCCTCTCTATCTCCTCACACAACCTTGCTAACTTCTACTGGCCCTTCAAGGATGCAGTTCAAATGTCGCTTGGTGGTTTTTAGCCCCTATGGCTTCTTGTGAATATTTTTGCTTGTTCTTCTATGCTTTCTATCAGAACGCATGACTAGCCACACATTTTATTTATATACTACCGCTGCTACTACTACTACTACTACTACTACTACTACTACTACTACTACTACTCCTACACACACACACACACACACATCCCTACCACAGGACACAGTATATAGCATATAATCAGTAAATATTGGATTAATAAATGATGTACACAGTCACACTGTCAGTTGTAAAACTGTAATTCAAACCCAAATAAGTTCAAACTTATGATTTTTTCATCACAATATATATCACCAGACAAAAATCAAGATACAACATATACCAGCAGACAGACCTCAGTATAAATTTTATATACATAATAATAGGAGACTCAGGAGTTTTCTACCATTAACAGTTTTATTAAAATTTTTAAGACTTAATTATAATAGTTCAGTCTCGCAAATAACAAATGCTTTCAAAATACAAATTTAAAAAAAAAGTTATTTCCTTCTATGTGCCATTGGTTACTGCCAGCTCAGTGCAAAGTTTCCTTTCAAGGCCCAGCTGCGTGCTTCATTCCAATGGGTTAATGAGGGTTGAGGTAAGTGTGAAATATGGAACCAGAGGCTAACGATTCTAAGACTTCCTTCCGCCTACTCCTTCTCATTTTATTTCCATCACTCTGGTACGAATGCTGACAGGTTAAAGAACTCTAGTGTTGGTGAGGCGCTAAGGAAATCATCCAGTCTAGAACACTGCTTTTAGGCACAAGCAAACATCTCAAACAATCTGTGGAGTTCATAAGACTCCACAGATTGAAATCTTCACAACTTCATTTTAAAGAACTTTCCAGTGTTTCATCAGATATCTAAAAAGAAGCATTTACTGTATTTAGTGATCGAGAAGCTTCCACAAGAGTGTGTCTTGTTTTCCAGAAGGCATCTTTAGGAGGCAGTAATAGGTGATGTAACTGTTTTTTATGCTTAACACCAACCATCGCCTTCCACTCCCCAGTTAATTAACTCTCAGGTTAGAGGGAGGGAAAATATGGGTTTCTAACTTAGGCTAGTTTTCTTAGCAATAACCTCTTCTTTAGGGCAATAGGAAATAACAACACAAATACTGGATGTTTTGACCTATCAGTGGAATTAAGGAGACAGTATTTATTTTCATGCTTAAATGTTAGCCAAGAATTGTTGTGTTTAACTATTGATAAATATTGGGCCTTATAATACTTCCCCTCCAGATGACTCTTTTTCTTACCTGCTTGTAACTAGATATATCTTATTTAATCTCAAATTATATCTTTCTCAGAAAAGAACAATACATTTTGGAGTGATCTGACAACTAAATGTTCTTCTATTTCACATTTTCAGAAGCAAGAACAAAAATAATAACTGCAAGTGTCCCTAGAGCCTGGCCCCCCATTCTCTATCTATCTCTGTCTCTCTGCCCTCCCTCGCTTCACCAACCAGCCAACACGGTATCATATTCAAGAAAAAAGAAGAGGCTGATGTCTAAGAAATCCTTTTTTTTTTTTTTTTTTTGAAACTAGAAATAAAGACATGACTTTTTCCCATGTTTGCAGATATGGAAACTGAAGCTAATAAAGGGGAAAACAGATTTTTAGCCCAGCTTTCACTCGCAAAATCTAAGCCACTTCTATACCATGCTACTTCCCAAGATAAAAATATTTTTTAAAATGATAATCACCAAGGAACAAATATGTCTTTGTAAATATGGTGAACTTGGAGAAAAGCTCTAAAAAATAAACACATAATTTGGGGATTTATCTATGGGACTCAATCAAGGTTAAACAGGGAAACTTCCAGAGCTCTCCTTGTTTAGTACCGAAGTACCGACTGTATCTTGGGTTACTTCCAAATTGCGACACATCTGCCCTGATTTTCCCTGCTCTTCCATCCCTTCCATCAAAGGCCTAGGCATAGTGAGGTATACTTTGAAGGCAAGAACAAAAAACAGAGAATCAATTTTTGCAAATTAACCTTTACTTGTTAACGGCTTTCTTTAAACAAGGGGGGCGGCCAATAAGAGAGTCATTTAACAGCTACTTAATAGGATTCTGAATCGTAATGGGTGACAGTTAATATTTGCACTAAAATCTGCCAAAGAAAAAATAACCATCTTTGTGTCATATAAGTAGGCTGGGTAGTTAACTGAAGCTTTACCACGCTTTCTCCAGACAGCAGAGGGCACTAAATAGTCTGAAGACTAGCCAAAAGGAAGAAGGAAATAGTATTCAGGGTTTGTACTCAGTAGTTCTGACCTTAGCAACCATTGTTCAAGTTACATTTACTACCCTTAGTTAAACTATATATAACTAACATATATATAGTTTAACTCTCAACATCCCCTTCACAACAAAGAACACTTGAAATGTAAAACGAAAAATGTTTTAGTGTTTGACATAATTAAATATGCATCCATTTGTTCTGAGTAATAAATTCTATTCCCTATAATAAGAACCACTGTAAAAGAAGAGAAATGGTAAAGGCATTTTCATGGCCCAGTGATTTGCACAGTCCCCCTCCCTCAGTCCAGTCCAGTCCAGAGATTCTATCGTGGATCTGTTTACCGTCTTGGAAAAAAGAAGATAGCACCTGTGCTGAAATTTAGAAGGTAGGAACACTTGATAAGAAAGAAAATGTGAAAGAAAATTACATCATAGTTTTGTAGGCTATTCTATTAAATTTCTCAGGAAAAAATTGCTCTGAGACCGGCTGTGATTCAGTTCAGCTATTTCCTGATACACTTCTGGGTTTACTTTATGTCTAACAGTCCATTTCCCTAGCATGCCTTTTATTTAAGGACCTCAGAGCAGTTTTAAATGCATCATCTCCTTCATCCTCCCAACATGCCCCATGAAGTGGATAGTAGGCAGCAGGTGGGCTCATCTATCTTTTATAGATGAGACAACCAGCCTCAGCACACAGCTCCATCCACTGGCCTGTACAGCCTCTCATTCAATGCCACAGTTTGCCTAGCTTACTGCTTCTTAGTTTTTAAAACTATGTCTCCTCTAGATAAACCTAAATTATATCCCCAGGGATTCTGACCCTTCTCAGAGAGAAACATCCATGAAAACTGGATACACAGGAGAGTAAGTTTTTATTCATTCAGAAAGATTATTGAGCACCTAGTGTATGCCATATACTATTCTAGGCACTGGACAGGAAACGAAATGGAAATACGCAAACGAAAAATCCCCAGATGTTTGGAGCTAACATTCTCATGAGAAGACAGACAAAATACACAGAAAGTAAATTAATTATATAGTATGTCAGAAGGTGATAGGTACTATGGGGAAAAAAATAGAATAAACATAGGAGAATTGGAAAGAGAGTGATTTTTAGGGGTTGCAGGCCTCGTAACCCCTAAAAAGGTAACAGTTGAGCAGACGTAAAGGAATGAGCTAGGAGGCCATCTAGGACAGAGCATTCCAGGCAGGAAGAGCACTGGTGCGAGGACGGTGAGATGGACCTTGCCTGGCTCATCTGAGGAGAAAGAAGGAGGCTGGAGTAGAGTGAGCAAGGAGTGGCGAAGTGGGGCACAAGGTCAGAGAGAAACTGGAAAGGTCAAGCTAGCTTCAGAGGCCACCAAGAGGACTTCAGCTTCTACATCAGGGAAATGACAAAACATGAGAGGATTTGAGCAGAGGGCTGACTGTCCTCTACTCACATGTACCAGCCTACAAGAAATGTGGTACTTTATTTTTGATGCAAAACAGATGGTTTTGCTTTGATTTTCAAAATATAAAATTATAGAGTAAAATATTAACTACATATTTTTTCTACAAATTATGCGCATGAACTAGTTTCCCAGGGCTGCCTTAATAAAATACCGCAAACTGAGTACCTCCCAGCAAAGTGAAACAAGAACAGTTATAGATTGTCTTGGGCCCGTGAGCTCCAATGAGCAGCTTCAACCTTCCAGAACCCATTGGTAGTCACGTTCTCTTCTTATTCAGAAGAGAGAGCAGCCTGCTTACCTTGCCTCCTACTCAGAATCTGAAGAGAGAAAAGCAGGACCTCTGTAAAAGCCCAGTATCTCTAAACTCAGAGCCCTCAGGATCATTTGAAACAATATGGTGTCAGGAAAAATAAATAGCCTGGGCACATGTTTCCAACTTATCAAAAGAATCCAGAAACTTCCTCATCAAGGCTAGCTAATAGGGAAAAGAAAGAGAAGAATGACTGGCCTAGGTTAATCAAAGATCTCATAGAAGAAAAAAAATTATGAGAAAGTACTTGAGAAAGGATAAAGTATTATGTAAAAGCAGGTTATCGCTTGCATGTCAGACGCCAAATCCTTGATGAGGGAGCCTATTAAGGGAAGAAAACAGGGAAGTGCCCCCAGACTGAGGAGGAAGAGGACAAGGTTCCTGGGCCTTTCATTACAGCACTGACCAGGTTCAGGAGGCAAGGCGACCTGGGTGGCTTGTGCCAACACCCTTAGCCTCCTCATTGATATTGTGGAGAAGTCCTCTATATCAGCTTTTAATCATAGAGCACTCCAGAAGAACTTACCCGACACTTATGGTGAACAACGTAGCAGGCATGGTTCACAAAACTCATTTGATTCTCACAACAATATATGTGGTAGAATGATTAATTAGTATTCTCCTTTTAAGATGAGGAAACCAACACAGAGAGATTAAGAAACTAACTCAAGGTCAGTAGCAAGGAAACAATTTTTATTCTCCAGAGGTTGATTTTATTGCAAGTTTTCTTCGTTACCTTGAAGGCCAGACCAAGTTACCATCCTTCATTCCTGGCAGCTAGAGAGCGCTAAGTCCTTGCTTTGAAAAAGCTCTAGATAGTGGCTGTGCATTTGGGCTGAATTGGGTTGGAAACAGCACCAAGTCACCCAATGCCAAACACACCCCAATATCAGTGCTAGAGGATTTAAAGATAGAAATGCCTTATGAGGCAAAGCTGAGGGGATGAACAGCTGGGCTAGGAAATGCCACAGATACTTTTTCTGATCATCGGTTTAGTGATATCTGAGGAATCATTGAACCTTGCTGGCCTAACTTTTTTGATATAAGAATTGAGGAGTTTTGAATAGACTATATATATGGCTCACCTCTAGGATTCTGTTGTTGTATAACAGGAAGGTATGTCATAAAGAAATATCAAGGGTCCCCTAAGGAAGACCCAGGATTCTCACAGAGCTTTGTAAACAAAAAAGCAACAGACAATTGTCAGGCATCCGATTGTTTTATGATGATTACGAAGCTCGCCAGAAGTACTTACAAATGCAACAAGAACAGTATCAAAACCCTGGCCAGGTAAATCTTACAGGAATCTTTGGAA